TGTATGAAATTGTACTACAATGTTCCATATCACAAAGGGAAAGCTGGGTTTGAGTTTGGGGGTAATTGCCCAAAAAGTTAAGGAATAAGGGGCCAAAAATAAGCATTTTTCTAGTTTCCAGACAATAACTTGTGTTCAAGTGTATGGATCTCTCTGAAATTGTACTGCAAGGTAGTTTTTTGGGGGGGATATTTTTTTTCCTTTTTTTTTCTTTAAAATTTCCATTTTAAATTGGTTATTTCTGATTTATATATAAAAGCAAATAATAATGATATGGTTTGAATAGGTAAATTAAAAATTTTTAAGTTCTTAGACCACTTTCATTCTGTGTCAGAAACCTATGCTGTGTCAAATATTTAATTACAATCCAAATTCAGTGCTGTATCAAGCTTAAATGTTGTGTCCATACTTGCCCCAACTGTTCCGGGTTCGACCTCTGCTGTTGTATCAAGCTGCGCCCCAGCGGATCATTTTATTGGTTATTATTATACGACAGCAAAATTTTTTTTTGCATCGTATTATGGTATGATGTAGTCTTCGTCTGCGACGTTGTCTGCGTCTGTGTCGTAGTCCAAAGACAAATTTGGTTTCCGGACATTAACTTTAGTTCAAGTGAATGGATCTCTATGAAATTTACCAGAAGGTTCAATACCACAAAAGAAAGGTTGGGATAGATTTTGGTGGTTATGGTACCAACAGTTTAGGAATTAGGGGCCAAAAAGGGGCCAAAAACAAGCATTTTTCTAGTTTCATGACAATAACTTGTGTGTAAGTGTATGGATCTTTCTGAAATTGTCCCACAAGGTTCCATATCACAAAAGGAAGGCTGGGATTGAGTTTAGGGGTAATTGCCCTAAACGTTCTGGAATTAGGGGCCAAACAGGGGCCAAAAACAAGCATTTTTCTAGTTTCCAGACAATAACTTGTGTTTATATGTATCGATCTCTCTGAAATTGTAATGCAAGGTGCCATACCACAAATGGAAGGCTGGGATTGAGTTTGGGTATATTGCTCCAAACGTTCAGGAATTGGGGGCCAAAAAGGGGTAAAAAACAAGAATTTTTCTAGTTTCTAGACAATAACTTGTGTTTAAGTGTATGGATCTTTTTGAAAGTGTACTGCAAGGTACCATACCACAAAGGGAAGGCTGGGATTGAATTTGGGGGTGATGAATCATAAAAATTTTGGGGGGGATTTTTTTTTCTTTTTTTTCTTTAAAATTTTCCATTTTAAATTGGTTATTTCTGATTTATATATATAAGCAAATAATAATGATATGGTTTGAATAGGTAAATTAAAATTTTTTAAGTTCTTAGACCACATTCATTCTGTGTCAGAAACCTATGCTGTGTCAAATATTTAATTACAATCCAAATTCAGTGCTGTATCAAGCTTGAATGTTGTGTCCATACTTGCCCCAACTGTTCAGGGTTCAACCTCTGCGGTCTTATCAAGCTGGGCCCCAGCGGAGCATTTTATTGAAAGAAGGTACATGTGTCCATGTTTTGAATCATTATCATTCTTTAAGAAATAATACGTCTGGGAATCCATTTCTTTTTATGCCCCCTACGTAGTGTTGGGGGCATTACGTTTTACCCTTAACTGAGTTGGTTGCCGTTCTCTAACTTAAGTTTGCCTCAAACAAATGTTATGAAACTTATACACAATGCTTATTACCACAAAATACAGATCAAGTTTGAAATTGGTGGCGTCACTTTAACCGTTCTAGAGAGATGCCCCTTTTCAAATGAAAATTGCTGAATTTTCTTTTCTGTTCTCTAACTTTAGTTTTCCTCAACCAAATGGGATGAGACTTATACACAATGCTTATTACCACAAAACACAGATCAAGTTAGAATGTTGGTTGTGTAACTTTTACTGTTCTAGAGTTATGCCCCTTTACAAACATAAAAGTTTCCGTTCTCTTACTTAAGTTTGCCTCAACCATATATTATGAAACTTATACACAATACCTATTACCACAAAAGTCAGATCAACTACAAATGTGGGTAGTGTCACTTTTACCTTTCTTCAGTTATGTCCCTTTAAAACTTTATATGATATGCAAGCATGGGCATCATGTGTGTCCCATGGACACATTCCCTTTTTATTTTCATCTCACTTTATAATTAACACCACTCTCATATTGTCATGATTTACAATAATTTAAAAAGAAAATATCATCCTCCACACACATGGCCATGAAAGCACTGAGATATAATTTTTAATTTAGTTGAATTAATAAATAGCATAAAAAAGTTCTAAGGTTCACGTATTGTCTTTTTTTTTTAAAAAGCAACTTTTTTTTTTGCTTATCACTTTCAGAAGTTTATTCCCTACACCCTTTCCACACACACACACACACACACACACACACACTTTTAGAAAAAGCATTAAAGTGTAAAATAGGAAATGGTAGGAGAATGTGAATCATATCTTTCACATTTTTATATTGAACATCGATTATAATTAGTGACAAAATTCAAAGCAAGTGAACACTAACTTTTAATTCAATTTGGTAGATATGTTAAACTACAAAGAAAAGATAGGATATGTCCAGTTGGTATAAAATTTGATGATGAAATCCATTTCTTTTTTGAAATGTTTACTTACTAATAGATAAAGAAAGCATCTTTTAAAGCAATTGTTTGTTGTCATTGAAAAAATTATAGAATATTTCACTCACCAACACCATAAGATTTCAAAGCAGTCAGGATCTTCATCATTAGAAATGAGGAAGGAAAACCTTCAGAATAAAAATTGAGTGTTTTAGATTTGCAAATTGTGCGATATATATTATTCTATGTATTTTTCTATGTTGTTTATGTTACATGTATTCCTTTCATGCTCAGTCTTAGATTGGGCTGAATAAAATATTAATTATATATAAAGAAATGGTTTTGGTATACATCCAGGGGTTATGGTTTTTCCTAAAAAAATATTCTGATCCCCAATTTGATGAAAAAAAATATTGTGGTCAAGCAGATGACAAAAAAAAATCTGAATCCAGATTTTCCCCATACCTTATAGTGTTAAATTTTGAAAAAAATAATTTGATTGATAGCGTTGAAAAACTAATAAAAATGTTTGCGCTTTGCTCGAAAAAGATTTCTGACTCAGACAAAAAAGTATAACCCCCCCTTGAAGTTAAATGGTTGCTTCGTAAAATTGTTTTGGCAGAGAGGGGTGAAAATATGTGAATTTTATTTTGCTTTGTGTATAATTACGAGTCAGATGGTATTGCATATAACCTTTAGGTATATGTAGTGTGGATTATTTCAACAGAAGATATGTTTTATTTAAAATGAATGATTTCTACAGGTAAATAAAATTACAGGTGCCTAATTACCTTTCACCTGGTCAAGGTGTGAAAATTTAATTACTAAAACAACAGCCCCCAATAAATATAACAGGGGGAAAATTAATAAACGTGATATTTGTAGACGCCTAAAAACAATAAAAATATTTTCTGTATATTCAGGTTCTTTACATTTACTTGTAAAAATCATTACATTTGTGTGCAGCTTTTGATTACAACTATTTACAAGTACCCTCTTCTGTTAGTCTTAGTCCACTGCTCACCCATGAGGAGGTGGAAGTGGGTTTCTAGCAGGATAAGTCCTTTTTTAGGGTGCATTGACATTTGCGCCAATTTTGAAAATGTTATTAAGTATTTTCGTGTGATGTATATAGTTTTAGAAACTTTTTCAATAAACTTATACTGCTCAGAGTACCAATTCCACAATTCCCTTGGTGAGCAGGAAGCAGATGGCAAATGGAAGGAGTATTTTGTTATTATATCAATAAATTTTGTACAACTTATAAGTCTCATGACTTGTGTTTACCTGTAAATTGACGCAAATGAAAAAAAAATTATTGGCGCAAATGAAAAGAAAAGTTGGCACAAATGAAAAAAAAAATTGGCGCAAATGAAGTGCATATTAGCGCAAATGCAATATGCTACATTTATACGCCCGTTTACGGGATGTATTATGGTATACCGTTGTCCGTCCGTCCATCTGTCCGTCTGTCCGTCGTCAACATGTCGGACATTAACTCAAAAACGCTTTAAATAATATGCATGAAACTTTGGTGAATTGTTTATATCTATTAACGTGAGCTCCTTTTCGTTTTTTATAAATTTCAGATTTACCGTTTGTGAGTTTTGGGGTTTTATTCATTAAAAAAGGGGGGATTTTCCAGTTTTCCGACAATAACTCAAGAATGCTTTCAGCAGTTCTCATGAAACTTTGGTGAATTGTTTATATCTGTTGATGTAAGCTCCCTTTAGAATTTTATAAATTTTAGATTTTACATTTCTGAGTTATGGAGTTTTATTCATTAAAAAAGGGGGGATTTTCCAGTTTTTGGACAATAACTCAAAAATGCTTTCAGGAGTTCTCATGAAACTTTGGTGAATTATTTATAGCTATTGATGTAATCTCCCAATTGATTTTCATAAATTTCAAATATGACATTGAGAAGAAATTGAACTTTATTTGTTTATAGTCTGACAACAGGTTTACTAAGTATTGCGCAACAGCACAGTGTATTGCACAACAGCAAGAAATCTTTAATTGAATATAATTTAATTCATATAACCAATTTCAAGTTCTTTGACTACATTTATTCAGAAACCTATAATATGTCAAATATTTAATTACAATCCAAATTCAGACCTGTATCAAGCTTGAATATTGTGTCCATTTTTGCACAAACTTTTCGGGGTTGGACCTCTGCGGGCGTATCCAGCTGCGCTCAGCGAAGCAGTTTATTTTTTTTATTAAGAAAATAAGATGTATGGTAATATAACTTGTTAACAATACATACTAGAGACCTAAGGTCCTTTGATATGAGGACCTTGCTTGATGATCTTGAAAATGAGGTCACGGTCAAAGAGTTTTGATTGATAAATATGGTAAGATTTGACCAAAAGAAACATTTTTCAGGCAGCTGGTATAGATTAAACTGTTCATATATATAATGTTAATTTTTTTCAGCAAGAATCAGCTGGTAGACAATGTATATTAGAAAAAGAACAGAAAACATTTACAGACGCTTTAGCATTGGCAGAAAAGAAGGCTTCTGATGATAGAAGTAAGTTAGTATCAATATTTCTTTCAAAGTATAATAAAACGAAACCTTTCAAAAACCAAACTATTCATAAACAAGAAACCTGTCTTAACACACCTTTTAATGCCCCACCTTTGATAGTAGAAGGGCATTATGTTTTTCGGTCTGTGCCTCCGTTCGTTCGTTCGTCCGTCCGTCCATCTGTTCGTCCGTCTGTCCGGCTTCAGGTTAAAGTTTTTGGTCAAGGTTATTTTTGATGAAGTTGAAATCCAATCAACTTGAAACTTAGTACACATGTTCCCTATGATATGATCTTTCTAATTTTAATGCCAAATTAGAGTTTTGACCTCAATTTAACGGTCCACTGAACATAGAAAATGATAGTGCGAGTGAGGCATCCGTGTACTATGGACACATTCTTGTTTAATCAGGATGTACACTGAATTTTCTGTAGTAAATTCAGCTTAGTTTGCTTAATTCATTTATTACCTAAACCTTAACCCAATAGCCCCGTTTATTCATGGTGAGAATAATATAATTTTGCAGATTATTTCGTTTGACTTTTTATGCTACCGCCGTAACGGAGGGGCATTAATTTTTACCCTTGTCCTAATTTTGGTGGCGTCACTTTAACCGTTCTAGAGTTATGCCCCTTTACAAATGGAAAAATTGCTGAATTTTTCGTTTCCGTTCTCTAACTTTAGTTTGCCTTAACCAAATGTTATGAAACTTATACAATATGATTACCGTAGAAAGGCTTGTATAGTTCGCAGTGGTACATAGTCCGCACCCCCTTCTCCCCACGAAATTTTAGGTAAAAAAACTTTTTGTAACTGTTAGAAAAGGTCTAATGAAACTCCGGTAATTTCAAATCCTGTGCGGTCGTTTGCGGTATTTTCTTGGAAAACCCTGTTTTCCATCATCAAACAGAAGCCGAAACTGCTTGTTAACGATTCTAGAACGCTTCATGATTGTTAAAATAAGTTTAATTCACTTAAAAAACAATTTAGAAACTTGTGTATGTTTAACAGGAAGTTTAAAAAGCACATATAAAAGAAGAAATTAACCGGTGAGAGTCGAAATCCGTACATAACAGATATCACTATAATACGACTTTGAAAGTAAAACAGTTCCATCCTTTTGTAAAACAGTCTTTAATATATCTATCACATTAATGTTTGAAGGGTCTTAAGCTAATACAAACCATATTAGTCAGTATGAAACACCAAAACGGAACGAACAATGACCGATTACGTTTTGTAGTTTACAAATTCTAAGCTGGTTTACGGTTGTCTTTTTCGCTATGTTTGTATCGTTTCAATCAAGCAGATACCAGTTTATTTCAACCAATGAATTGAAAAGAAACGAGAAATTTGTAATGAAAGGTTTAGTTTTTATATTTATCAGTATTAATTTGATATTGAATAGAAATAACTTATTAATATGGATGAGTTAAAATTATTAGTTTGAAAAATGATAAGAGCGCCCTCTACAATATAAATAATAAAGATGGCGGAACGTAAACAAACCACCTCGCCCGCGAAATTGAAATTTTTCTCTTATTTCTTGCTTATTGTACTCTATAGTCCGCACCCCGTCTGGAAGGTCCAATTTTGGAGAATAAAACCGCGGACTATACAAGCCTTTCTACGGTATTACCACAAAATACAGATCAAGTTCGAATTTTGGTGGTGTTTCTTTAATCGTTCTAGAGTAATGCCACTTTACAAATGGAAAAATTGCTGAATTTTTCATTTCCATTCTCTTACTTTAGTTTGCTTCCACCAAATGTTATGAAACTTATACACAATACTTATTGCCACAAAACTCAGATCAAGTACAAATTTGGGTAGCGTCACTTTTACCATTCTTCAGTTATGTCCGTTTATAACTTTATATGATATGCAAGCTGGGGCATCATCTGTATCCCATGGACACATTCCCCATTTATTTGGTTATCATTTGTAATTAATGTAATAATATAAATTTAACCATACATTTTGGTACCATTTCTTTGCTTGCAAAAATGTTGTACGTTGATTTCTCTTTATTGAAAAGGCACTCTATTTGGCAATAAGCACAATTACCAATGTCAACATGCAAGCAAAATTATCATTGCTAAGTATATTTAATCTACTTTTTAAGAAGAAAAAAATCCAGTTATAAAATTGGTGAAATACAGCGGACTGGCGATGGGCGGGCGGCTGCCAACAGTTTCTGTGCAATAACTTATGAACCGTTAAGCTAATGCTTTTCAATTTTAACATGTTGATACTAATGTCAAAATGGAGAGCAAGTTCGATATTGACGATTTTCACCCCAACTGTTCAGGAGTCCTTGATATATTGGAAAATGGCACTTTATGTTTTTTTCAGTTCAATTACTTATGAATTCTTTTACCAATGGTTTTCAAATTATAATATGTTGTTACTGATGAAAAAATTTATTTCTGTGCAATTACTTTTTATACGACTGCAAATTTTGCGGTCATATATTGGTATCACATCGTCGTCGTAGTTGTCGTCGGCAACAACGTCGTCCGAAGATATTTGGTTTCCGGACAATAACTTTAGTATAAGTGAATTGAAATCTATGAAATTTAAACATAAGGTTTATAACCACAAAAGGATGGTTGGGATTGATTTTTGGGGTTATGGTCCTAACAGTTTAGGAATGAGGGGCCAAAAAGGGGCCCAAATAAGCATTTTTCTAGTTTCCAGACAATAACTTGTGGAACAGTGTATGGATCTCTCTGAAATTATACCACAAGTTTCCATACCACAAAGGGATGGTTAGGATTGGCTTTGGGGGTTATGGCTCAAACCATTTTTGGAATTAGGGGCAAAAAAGGGGGGGAAAACAAGTGTTTCCTTGTTAATGGACAATTACTTAAGTATTGGTCTTTGGATCTCTATGAAATAGATATTGGACCATTAATCATTATATAAGGGATAGCATTCGATGGATTCATGATATTTTACAGTATATAGAAGAGAACAATATTTTGGGAATTTTGATTTTGAGAAAGCTTTGATTCTTTATGTCAGGACTTTTTGCTATAAGTATTACAATTTTTCATGCTATTAGTATTACAATTTTTTTCATATGCTGAGTCTAACTGTGTATTTGGTTGTTGGGCCCATTTTCTAATTGGTCCACATTTTGGTCCTTAGGCTATAAAATTTGTTTTGTTTGATTTGATAAACATTAAATAAAATTAAAAAGATAATAATTACAATGTTATATTTGAATTACCTCCCTTACATTGCTTTTAAATTATGTAAAGTTGTCAGCTAGTTCTAGTATGAATTATTTTTTAGCTGTTTCTAGAAACATCAAATACTGTGATGGAAGTATATATAATATAATAATAGTGTATATAAAAGGGTTCAGTGGTAATACATTTTTATATTCAGAATTGTTTATTTGTGATCAATATCATTTGTTTGGGGTTTTTTTAGCATTAAGAGTTACCTCCCTTACAATGGTTTTGTTATAAAGAAATGTTGTATTGTCTTGAGGTGATTAGCTGTCAATTTATTTTTAGAAGTTACTATTAAATGCTGATGAAGGTATATTAATTTTAGCCATGATTATGTATGTCATTTTCTATTTCAATACTTTTATGATGTATTTAAATAGGTTTTTAGCTCACCTGGCCCGAAGGGCCAAGTGAGCTTTTCTCATCACTTGGCGTCCGCCGTCCTTCGTCGTCCGGCGTCGGCGTTAACTTTTTACATTTTGAACTTCTTCTAGAGAACCACTGAATGGAATGAAACCAAACATGGCATGAATGTTCCTTATGAGGTGCTGACCAAGTGTTGTTACTTTGTAGCGGATCCATCATTCAAAATGGCCGCCAGCTGTGGACTTAGTTTAACATAAGACCCTATGGGAAATACATACAAATGTCTTCTTTTAGAGAACCACTGAATGGAATGAAACCAAACATGGCATGAATGTTTCTTATGAGATGCTGACCGAGTGTTGTTACTTTGAAGCCAATCCATAATCCAAGATGGCTGCCAGCGGGGGACTTAGTTTAACATGGGACCCTATGGGAAACACATACAAACATCTTCTTTTAGAGAACCACTGAATGGAATGAAACCAAACATGGTATGAATGTTCCTTATGAGGTGCTGACCAAGTGTTGTTACTTTGTAGCGGATCCATCATCCAAGATGGCCGCCAGCGGTGGACTTAGTTTAACATAGGACCCTAAGGGAAATACATACAAATGTCTTCTTTTAGAGAACCACTGAATGGAATGAAACCAAACATGGCATGAATGTTCCTTATGAGGTGCTGACCAAGTGTTGTTACTTTGTAGCGGATCCATCATCCAAGATGGCCGCCAGCTGTGGACTTAGTTTAACATAGGACCCTATGGGAAATACATACAAATGTCTTCTTTTAGAGAACCACTGAATGGAATGAAACCAAACATGGCGTGAATGTTTCTTATGAGGTGCTGAATGAGTGTTGTTACTTTGAAGCCGATCCATAATCCAAGATGGACGCCAGCGGGGGACTTAGTTTAACATAGGACCCTATAGGAAATACATACAAATGTCTTCTTTTAGAGAACCACTGAATGGAATGAAACCAAACATGGCATGAATGTTCCTTATAAGGTGCTGACCGAGTGTTGTTACTTTGAAGCCAATCCATAATCCAAGATGGCCACCAGCGGGGGACTTAGTTTAACATGGGACCCTATGGGAAACACATACAAACGTCTTCTTTTAGAGAACCACTGAATGGAATGAAACCAAACATGGTATGAATGTTCCTTATGAGGTGCTGACTAAGTGTTGTTACTTTGTAGCGGATCCATCATCCAAGATGGCCGCCAGCGGTGGACTTAGTTTAACATAGGACCCTATGGGAAATACATACAAATGTCTTCTTTTAGAGAACCACTGAATGGAATGAAACCAAACATGGCATGAATGTTCCTTATGAGGTGCTGACCAAGTGTTGTTACTTTGTAGCAGATCCATCATCCAAGATGGCCGCCAGCGGTGGACTTAGTTTAACATAGGACCCTATGGGAAATACATACAAATGTCTTCTTTTAGAGAACCACTGAATGGAATGAAACCAAACATGGCATGAATGTTTCTTATGAGGTGCTGACTGAGTGTTGTTACTTTGAAGCCGATCCATAATCCAAGATGGACGCCAGCGGTGGACTTAGTTTAACATAGGACCCTATGGGAAATACATACAAATGTCTTCTTTTAAAGAACCATGGAATGGAATGAAACCAAACATGGCATGAATGTTTCTTATGAGGTGCTGACCGAGTGTTGTTACTTTGAAGCCGATACAATCCAAGATGGACGCCAGCGGGGGACTTAGTTTAACATAGGACCCTATGGGAAATACATACAAATGTCTTCTTTAAGAGAACCACTGAATGGAATGAAACCAAACATGGCATGAATGTTCCTTATGAGGTGCTGACCTAGTGTTGTTACTTTGAAGCCGATCCATAATCCAAGATGGCCGCCAGCGGGAGACTTAGTTTAACATGGGACCCTATGGGAAATACATACAAATGTCTTCTTTTAGAGAACCACTGAATGGAATGAAACCAAACATAGCATGAATGTTCCTTATGTGGTGCTGACCAAGTGTTGTTACTTTGAAGCCGATCCATAATCCAAGATGGCCGCCAGTGGGGGACTTAGTTTAACATGGGACCCTATGGGAAATACATACAAATGTCTTCTTTTAGAGAACCACTGAATGGAATGAAACCAAACATGGTATGAATGTTCCTTATGAGGTGCTGACAGAGTGTTGTTACTTTGAAGCTGATCCATAATCGAAGATGGCCGCCAGCAGGGGACTTAGTTTAACATGGGACCCTATGGGAAATACATACAAAGGTCTTCTTTTAGAGAACCACTGAATGGAATGAAACCAAACATGGCATGAATGTTTCTTATGAGGTGCTGACCGAGTGTTGTTACTTTGAAGCCGATCCATAATCCAAGATGGCCGCCTGCAGGGGACTTAGTTTAACATGGGACCCTATGAGAAATACATACAAATGTCTTCTTTTAGAGAACCACTGAATGGAATGAAACCAAACATGGCATGAATGTTCCTTATGAGGTGCTGACCGAGTGTTGTTACTTTGAAGCCGATCCATAATCCAAGATGGCCGCCAGCGGGGGACTTAGTTTAACATGGGACCCTATGGGAAACACATACAAACGTCTTCTTTTAGAGAACCACTGAATGGAATGAAACCAAACATGGCAAGAATGTTCCTAGTGAGGTGCTGACCAAGTGTTGTTACTTTGAAGCCGATCCATAATCCAAGATGGACGCCAGCTGGGGACTTAGTTTAACATAGGACCCTACGGGAAATACATACAAATGTCTTCTTTTAGAGAACCACTGAATGCAATGAAACCAAACATGGCATGAATGTTCCTTATGAGGTGCTGACCAAGTGTTGTTACTATGAAGCCGATCCATAATCTAAGATGGCCGTCAGTGGAGGACTTAGTTTAACATAGGACCCTATGAGAAATACGTACAAATGTTTTCTTTTAGAGAACAATTGAATGGAATGAAACCAAACATGGCATGCATGTTCCTTTTGAGTTGCTGACCAAGTGTTGTTACTTTGAAGCTGATCCTTCATCCATGATGGTTGCCAATGGGGGGACTTCCTTTAACATAAGACCCTATGGGAAATACATACAAATGCTTCTTCTAGAGGTGCACTGAATGGAATGAAACCAAAACATGGCATAAATGTTTCTTATGAGGTGCTGATTAAGTGTTGCTACTTTGTTGCCGATTTACTGTTCAAGATGGCCACCAGGATTTTTTATTAAATTACAGGACTAATATTAAAACAAATTTGGCCTCACTCATTATTAGGGTATCTGTTAATTTTAATCTATTTTTACATGATTTCCAAAACCAAAGTAGAATCAGGTGAGCAACACAGGCTCTTGAGAGCCTCTAGTTATGGTTGCAAACTCTGGAAATTTGAATTGAGATTATGACCATATCTTGAGGGAAACATTTTTTTTTTGGAAAAAGGGGGAGGGGGGGGGGGGGGTTAAAAAAATTAGATTTGGGGGGGTTAAAAAAATTGGAGGGGGATGGGAACAATTTTTTATCAAGATTTCAGAAATTAAAAAGAAAATTTCGTCAATTTTTTTTTTTTTTATTAAAAATGGGGGTGGGGGGGGGGAAACAGATTTACAAAGTATTGCGCAACAGCACAGTGTATTGCCCAAAAGTAAAAAATTGAATATAAATTCAAATCATATAACCAATTCTAAGTTCTTTGACTGCAGTTATTCAGTGTCAGAAACCTATTATGTGTCAAATATTTAAATACAATCCAAATTCAGACCTGTATCAAGCGCCAATATTGTGTCCATTTTTGCCCCAACTGTTCAGGGTTGGACCTCTACGGTCGTATCCAGCTGCGCTCCGCGAAGCACATTTTTAAACAAATCAAAGTTTTATTACCATATAAACCAACTTATACAATTTGTGACAAAAACAACATTAACATAATGACAAGAAAAAAGCATGTATAATCATATTAAACAAACTAATGAAAATAGTTTAAACAATCATTAAAAAATAGAGAGTTGTTGGGTTGTTAGCTCACCTGGCCCAAAGGGCCAAGTGAGCTTTTCTCATCACTTGGCGTCCATCGTCCGTTGTTGTCATCGTCCATCGTCGTCCGTCGTCGTCGTTTACTTTTTACATTTTGAACTTCTTCTAGAGAACCACTTAATGGAATAAAACCAAACGTGGCATGAATGTTCCTTATGAGGTGCTGACCAAGTGTTGTTACTTTGAAGCCGATCCATCATCCAAGATGGCCGCAAGCGGGGACTTACTTTAACATAGGACCCTATGGGAAATACATACAAATGTCTTCTTTTATAGAACAACTGAATGGAATGAAACCAAACATAGCATGAATGTTATGAAAGCTATTCCATAATCCCAAGATGGACGCCAGCGGGGGACTTAGTTTAAAATAAGACCCTGTAGGAAATATTTACAAATGTCTTCTTTTAGAGAACCACTTAATGGAATGAAACCAAACATGGCATGAATGTTCCTTATGAGGTGCTGACCAAGTGTTGTTACCTTGAAGCCGATCCATCATCCAAGATGGCCGCCAGCAGGGTACTTACTTTAACATAGGACCCTATGGGAAATACATACAAATGTCTTCTTTTAAAGAACCACTGAATGGAATGAAACCAAACATAGCATGAATGTTCCTTATGAGGTGCTGACCAAGTGTTGTTACTTTGAAGCCGATCCATAATCCAAGATGGCCGCCAGGGGGGTACTCAGTTTAACATAAGACCCTGTAGGAAATATTTACAAATGTCTTCTTTTAGAGAACCACTTAATGGAATGAAACCAAACATGGCATGAATGTTCCTTATGAGGTGCTGACCAAGTGTTGTTACCTTGAAGCCGATCCATCATCCAAGATGGCCGCCAGCGGGGGACTTACTTTAACATAGGACCCTATGGGAAATACATACAAATGTCTTCTTTTAGAGAACCACTGAATGGAATAAAACCAAACATAGCATGAATGTTCCTTATGAGGTGCTGACCAAGTGTTGTTACTTTGAAGCCGATCCATAATCCAAGATGGCCGCCAGCGGGGGACTTAGTTTAACATAAGACCCTGTAGGAAATATTTACAAATGTCTTCTTTTAGAGAACCACTGAATGGAATGAAACCAAACATAGCATGAATGTTCCTTATGAGGTGCTAACCAAGTGTTGTTACTTTGAAACCGATCCATAATCCAAGATGGCCGCCAGCGGGGGACTTACTTTAACATGGGACCCTATAGGAAATATTTACAAATGTCTTCTTTTAGAGAACCACTTAATGGAATGAAACCAAACATGGCATGAATGTTCCTTATGAGGTGCTGACCAAGTGTTGTTACCTTGATGCTGATCCATCATCCAAGATGACCGCCAGCGTGGGACTTAGTTTAACATAGGACCCTATGGGAAATACATACAAATGTTTTCTTTTAGAGAACCACTGAATGGAATGAAACCAAACATAGCATGAATGTTCCTTATGAGGTGCTGACCAAGTGTTGTTACTTTGAAGCCGATCCATAATCCAAGATGGCCGCCAGCGGGGGACTTACTTTAACATAGGACCCTATAGGAAATATTTACAAATGTCTTCTTTTAGAGAACCACTTAATGGAATGAAACCAAACATGGCATGAATGTTCCTTATCAGGTGCTGACCAAGTGTTGTTACCTTGATGCCGATCCATATCCAAGATGGCCGCCAGCGGGGGACTTAGTTTAACATAGGACCCTAAGTGAAATACATACAAATGTTTTCTTTTAGAGAACCACTGAATGGAATGAAACCAAACATAGCATGAATGTTCCTTATGAGGTGCTGACCAAGTGTTGTTAATTTGAAGCCGATCCATAATCCAAGATGGCCGCCAGGGGGGGGGGGGGGGGGGGGGGGGACTTAGTTTAACATAGGACCCTATAGGAAATATTTACAAATGTCTTCTTTAAGAGAACCACTTAATGGAATGAAACCAAACATGGCATGAATGTTCCTTATGAGGTGCTGACCAAGTGTTGTTACCTTGAAGCCGATCCATCATCCAAGATGGCCGCCAGCGGGGGACTTACTTTAACATAGGACCCTATGGGAAATACATACAAATGTCTTCTTTTAGAGAACCACTGAATGGAATGAAACCAAACATAGCATGAATGTTCCTTATGAGGTGCTGACCAAGTGTTGTTACTTTGAAGCCTATCCATAATCCAAGATGGCCGCCAGCGGGGGACTTAGTTTAACATAGGACCCTATAGGAAATATTTACAAATGTCTTCTTTTAGAGAACCACTTAATGGAATGAAAGCAAACATGGCATGAATGTTCCTTATGAGGTGCTGACCAAGTGTTGTTACTTTGAAGCTGATCCATCATCCAAGATGGCCGCCAGCGGGGGACTTACTTTAACATAGGACCCTAAGGGAAATACATACAAATGTCTTCTTTTATAGAACCACTGAATGGAATGAAACCAAACATGGCATGAATGTTCCTTATGAGGTGCTGACCAAGTGTTGTTACCTTGAAGCCGATCCATCATCCAAGATGGCTGCCAGAGGGGGACTTACTTTAACATAGGACCCTAAGTGAAATACATACAAATGTCTTCTTTTATAGAACCACTGAATGCAATGAAACCAAACATAGCAGGAATGTTCCTTATGAGGTGCTGACCAAGTGTTGTTACTTTGAAGCTATTCCATAATCCCAAGATGGACGCCAGCGGGGGACTTAGTTTAAAATAAGACCCTGTAGGAAATATTTACAAATGTCTTCTTTTAGAGAACCACTTAATGGAATGAAACCAAACATGGCATGAATGTTCCTTATGAGGTGCTGACCAAGTGTTGTTACCTTGAAGCCGATCCATCATCCAAGATGGCCGCCAGCAGGGTACTTACTTTAACATAGGACCCTATGGGAAATACATACAAATGTCTTCTTTTAAAGAACCACTGAATGGAATGAAACCAAACATAGCATGAATGTTCCTTATGAGGTGCTGACCAAGTGTTGTTACTTTGAAGCCGATCCATAATCCAAGATGGCCGCCAGCGGGGGATTTAGTTTAACATAGGACCCTATGGGAAATATTTACAAATGTCTTCTTTTAGAGAACCACTTAATGGAATGAAACCAAACATGGCATGAATGTTCCTTATGAGGTGCTGACCAAGTGTTGTTACTTTGAAGCCGATCCATCATCCAAGATGGCTGCCAGAGGGGGACTTACTTTAACATAGGACCCTAAGTGAAATACATACAAATGTCTTCTTTTATAGAACCACTGAATGCAATGAAACCAAACATAGCATGAATGTTCCTTATGAGGTGCTGACCAAGTGTTGTTACTTTGAAGCTATTCCATAATCCCAAGATGGACGCCAGCGGGGGACTTAGTTTAACATAAGACCCTATAGGAAAATATTTACAAATGTCTTCTTTTAGAGAACCACTTAATGGAATGAAACCAAACATGGCATGAATGTTCCTTATGAGGTGCTGACCAAGTGTTGTTACCTTGAAGCCGATCCATCATCCAAGATGGCCGCCAGCGGGGGACTTAGTTTAACATAGGACCCTAAGGGTAAATACATACAAATGTCTTCTTTTAGAGAACCACTGAATGGAATGAAACCAAACATAGCATGAATGTTACTTATGAGGTGCTGACCAAGTGTTGTTACTTTGAAGCCAATCCATAATCCAAGATGGCCGCCAGCGGGGGACTTAGTTTAACATAGGACCCTATAGGAAATATTTACAAATGTCTTCTTTTAGAGAACCACTTAATGGAATGAAACCAAACATGGCATGAATGTTCCTTATGAGGTGCTGACCAAGTGTTGTTACTTTGAAGCCGATCCATCATCCAAAATCGCCGCCAGCAGGGGACTTAGTTTAACATAGGACCCTTACGGGAAATACATACAAATGTCTTCTTTTAGAATACCACTGAATTGAATGAAACCAAACATGGCATGAATGTTCCTTATGAGGTGCTGACCAAGTGTTGTTACTTTGAAGTCGATCCATAATCAAAGATGGCCGCCAGCGGGGGACTTAGTTTAACATAGGACCCTACGAGAAATATTTACAAATGTCTTCTTTTAGAGAACCGCTGAATGGAATAAAACCAAACATGGCATGAATGTTCTTTATGATGTGCTGACCAAGTGTTGTTACTTTTAAGTAGATCCATGATCCAAGATGGCAGCCAGCAGGGGACTTACTTTGACATAGGACCCTATGTGAAATACATATAAATGTCTTCTTATAGAGAACCACTTAATGAAATGAAACCAAACATGGCATGAATGTTTCTTTTGAGGTGCTGACCAAGTGTTGTTACTTTGAAGCTGATCCATAATCCAAGATGGCCGCCAGCAGGCCACTTACTTTAACATAGGACCCTATGGGAAATACATACAAATGT